TTCGGGAGCTTAGTGCATGAGCCTCTACTGCATGAGCTAAAAACCAACTGGCTGTTAGCTAAGGCCGTAGATCAGACTCTTTTAACTCTCTCTTGCTAAGTGGTCTGGATGCCACTAGATGGGACAGAAGACCACGCCCAGGAGGTGTGTGGGTTACACCCCCACCCAGTGACTTGGGACAATTACCCACCATCCCTGGGCGCCTTTAATCAGTGTGTGTAGAAAAGAAACTTTTTATCAAACTGGAAAGTAACCCAGCCTTCATTTGGGAAAATGCCGCAAGCAGGATTCAGAAACATGTGACCATGAGCAAAACACCCACCCCAGAGCACGGTGGGCAGTGTCCCTTGACTCAGGTTCTCACCTTGCGGTGAGAAAGTCCAACAAACAGAAGTTCCTGCAATGTGCCACTCCCCTCTTCCTCCACCGCACCCCAGTCCCAGTTACTGTCCTTTGTCAGTGACGACCCCGAGTTCAGAGGAGCAGTCACGTGAGTTCACCTCCCACCCCGGGAGGCACCTCGGCTCGCTCCGCCGTCACTTGCTCTGCTCTGCTGTCGGCCACTCCACCGCCACTCACTCCACCACTGCAGCCATTGGCGTCTCTGGGGTCCCAGCACTTAAGACGATCTCAGCTGTCAGTGGGGGAGCCTCCCTGCTAGTGCCAGCTGGGCACGCCCTGCCCCCAGAGACACTGTCTCATCACGTGCCTCGTGCTTTGGCCTTGTTATCACTGATTTCATCTCTCGTCAGCCACAACACAAGACTTTCAACTGAGGCTTAAGCGCTGGCTACACTCGCGAGTTTACAGCAACCCTGCTGTAAGGTCTCCCCTGTACTGCTCTACGCTGGCAGGTGGGAGCTCTCCTGTCAGCATCATTAACCCCTCCCCAGCGAGCGGCGGTAGCTTTGTCAGTGGGAGAGTGTCTCCTGCCGACGTCGTGCTGTCCACACGGTGCTTCTGTCGGTGAAACGTAGGTCACTGAAGGGTGTGTTTTTCACACCCCGAGCAACATAAGTTATACCAACAAAAGTGCTAGTGTCGATATAGCCTTAGTCAGCTCTGTGATCACACAGTGGGGAGAGGGAGACTCATGTGGTGTCCCGGCCCCGCACCACTAGAGAGAAACACCTAATCCGCCCCTCTGTCATCTCTGCTGGGCTTTGGCACCCCTGCCCCTGCTTAGCAGGCACTGTTCAGCTGAGGGGAACCCCTCAATCAGGGCCTGCCAAGTACAGTGCCGCTGCCCCTGAGTCACACAACAAGGATAACGATCCTTTAGTGCCCTGTCCCCGATAACAAAGTGACGTGCAACCCAACCCCACCATTTGGCAAAGGGCCCCATGAGACTGTGCACCTAGGCAGAGCGGGTGTGTTGGCTCCTGACGTCCTCTTCCCCAGCCCATCACTAGACGTCAGGGGAAGCTCATGCTGACCCTGCTGA